CATTCGGTAAGTTAGTCGTTTTTGTGAATGTTTGCAAGGATCCTAGAAGGACCTCTAGCTTTGTAAACCCGAGCAACCTTGGCGCTTATCAAAGGATCCTTTTAAGTGAAGTCTTCCTCATCTCTTTTGGATCTTCAAGCCTCGTTTTGGTAAAAGTTTAGCCCATGGTAAAGATTTTCAATTTTGTTTACCAGTAATGAAGATTATCTAATAAACAAATAAGCTTCATTATCATGCCTCAAGCATCGATAACGAGATCAATAATCAATAAGCTTCAACAAATTTTACTTTCTAATGTTCAACATTTGGTGGGCTCGGCTAAAGATGATCAAGAGAGGATTTGAGCTTTTCAACTCAACATCTTTCAAGTAGAGCTTAAAGGAGGCACTGCATTAAATGAACTGAGTTCATTTAAAGAAGTTGAAGTGGAGTTTAACTCAAGTTGCATTCAATAAACCCAAATTGGATTCAAGGAACTCAAGTTGCATTAAATGAACTTAGGTGCATATCAAGCTTCATTTAGTGCAAGTCGGCCATCGATTAATGAGACTACACTTAAAGCTACTTAAAACTACTTCAAGTGAAGCTTCATTTATAATTGGGAGGCTACAAAAACTTTGAATGTTGATCAATACTTCAATTATCAGATTCAAATGTCTTTTTATTGTATTTTTAGTTTTAAACATTTCATTGAAGTGTTTTAAGTTATATTTTAGCTAGTGGTTGTCATGACCATCATGTAATTGGGGGTTACAACATTTCAGATCTTTTAGATTACTTTTGGGGTTATTTTGGAGATTATAAATAGTCTAGATGTTCTCTTTAAATTCAGAATTGTGTGATTGAATGAAAGTTGCAATTTTCCTTCAAAAGTCTAGAACTTGTATTTATTTGCAATTCATGAGTGTTAGATTTCAATGTTACGATCATTCAAGTAGCCTTGATCAAGTTATATTGTGGAGTAGTTCGAATCTTGAGTATATGAACAATTTTTATATACTGTTGATTTTGATCATCAAGGTATCGTTCTGGTAATTCCTTGAGTTGATACAAATTGAATTTTAAATTTTAATATTTTATTTTATAAAAATTCTAATTTCATTAAGGGTTCTTTATCACTATTGAAACTGATTTTGAACCTCAGTGTTTTAGAGATAGAAAAAAAAAACAACAACAAAATAGTGGTTTTTCATGGGGAAAAAACGATCTCCACATAATAATAAGGAATTAGTACTAGTCTATTTAGGAGTCCTAATTACATTGGAAGCGTATAGAATTTACACTTTTGTCTAAAATAACTCTCAAATTAGATGGTACTCATAATAAAGATTACTAATATATCCATCTAAATATTAAATCATTAGTAAAATATGAAATTGGTAAATCATTATTAAAATATATTAAATCCCTAAAATGATGCTAATTCAACTTTCCAAAACTGAAAATCTTATAACCCCCAAAATTTCGTAACCTCCTTCTTTCTCCCTCGATTTTCTTTCACCGCTTCGATTGTCGGGCTTCCTCTCCTCTGAAGCATCTCTCTGACATCGTTGCTGTCTCCGCTTCTCCTTCTCCTTTGTTTGCAGAGCATTTCAACGTCGGCCTCCGTCGCATCTCATACAATAACATCGTCGTTGTTCCTCCATATCCGGTAACATCTAATTTCATCTCTGACCTCCGTTTATGAGCATTTCAGTACGTCAGTTCCCATTATACCATAGTTTATGCTATATTTAGGTTTCAATTGTGGACCGAATCGAGGTTCATCTCTTGCTCTCTGGTTCTAAATTAGTTCGCATATACGAGTATCTGATTTATCTGGTTCTCTGGTTCTATTTCCGTAGGATATATATTATATCTCTAATTTTTTAAACCACGGAAATAGAAAAATATCGAGAAATCGAAAGAAATAGAACAATACATAAAAGAACCACAGAACCACAGAAATCAGAACTATATACTCGTATATTACATCTCTGGTTCTATTGTTTTATGTATCATTTATATCTCTTAGCAGAAATCAGAAGAAATGGGGATCATGAGATTTGGATATTTTTTAATTAATAAAATCGGTAAATAAAGAAAATCAATCTTTTTTTGAAGGTTTGAAGGAGTGAATTAAGGGATTTGAATTGGCAATTAATATGGACCCACCTTAATTAAAGGGTTGTGATATTAATTTATGAAAATAACTATTTTATATTTCAAAAAACAAAAAAAAACTATAATAAATGAAAATGCAATAAGTAGGGGTAAATTCATAATTAAATTAAAATCCTACTCACAGAATGTAAAATTATAAAAATTTAGACATTTATGTAAATAAATTTCTAAATCAGGTCTCCAACAAGAATAATAATAAATAATACTTTTTTTTCAAAGCACCTCTTGGAAGTCTTGAACATAACGTGTTCCAACTTCTAACACTCTTATCTTTCTTCAATATTCGTCTTCATAGCCATCAATTGCCATAAATAGCAAAGCCTAAACGACACCTACCCATTTACATACAAAAAAAATTTAAAATTAAAATTAGCACAAAAAAAACATCTTTCGAAGCATTAAACTTCTATGAAGTACAAAGATGGAGACTCTTGAAAAAAAAAGCTCTCCAACATTCACTTCTTATTCGTTTAAATGAGTCTATTCATAGGCGTTTGAAACCTAATCAAATGTGTAGAAACTAGTTTATGCTATAAGTTAAAGATATTTCTAGAGGTTTTGAGATATTTGTTTTCAATAAGACCAGCGTAAACATTTGTGTAGAAACTCAAACAATCTTATTGTTGTGTTTTATTTTGACACATAAGCAGATTGGAAACTCTTCGACAACTGATTAGTTAGTCACATAAAACGGTTGGCCTTTGGACTCGGGCTCTGCCTCTGCCACATGTTGAGAAAAAATTGACTTGGTCTCAGGCTTAAAATCCACACACTCCAAGATCTTACATTCAACTGTCATGCTGAGCATTTTGACCGTCAAATCAAATGGCCTTTCCACTGAATCATCTTTTGCCAATACGCTGCTCTATAAATTCATTCTCTTCTGCCATTCCTCCATTTCCAAGTCCACCAGTTCAGAGACATGGCTTCTCACTCCACCCACTTCCAATTTGCCATTCTCACCGCCATCATAGTTTTGAAATGCTGTTCATTTCCCATTGTTGAGTCGGCCACTCTGAATCTTGACACCGACAAGCAAGCTTTGACTGCGCTCAAGTCTGCATTTCACAACATTCAGCCCCCCAATGCCTTATCTTCATGGAACAATCAAACTTCATCTCCCTGCAACTGGGTCGGCGTTAGCTGCACCAGACATGGAAGCAGAGTGATCGGACTTAATCTCACCGGCTTCCAACTCGCCGGCTCCGTCGACCCTCACATTGGGAACCTCTCATTTCTTCGTTCACTTCAACTCCAGGACAATCGATTAACAGGGCCGATCCCAGTTCAAATCAGCAAGCTTTCTCGCTTGAGAGTTCTGAATATGAGTTTCAACAATTTGGAGGGTCAATTACCCTCCAACATCAGCGCCATGGCTGATCTCGAGATCCTGGACTTGATGGCCAACAGAATCAATGGGAGACTCCCTGATGAACTCACCCGCTTGACCAAGCTTCAAGTTCTGATTTTGGCGCAAAACCAGCTCTACGGTGCAATCCCACCATCTTTTGCTAACCTTTCTTCACTTGTTACCATAAATTTAGGCACGAATTCAATCAGTGGTCCAATTCCCAGCCAATTAGCCGACCTTCCAAACTTGAAGGACCTCATAATCACCATTAACAACCTCTCTGGCCCTGTTCCTCCCGGCATATTCAATATGTCCTCCTTGGTCACTCTGGCCTTGGCCTCCAACAACCTTTGGGGAACATTTCCCAAGGATCTCGGCGAAAAGCTCCCTAATCTTTTGGTGTTCAACTTCTGCTTCAACAAATTTACAGGAACTATTCCTGAGTCGCTGCATAACATCACCAAAATACAAGTCATACGCTTCGCACACAACTTTCTTGAAGGGATGGTTCCACCGGGTCTGGAGAAACTTCACGATCTGTCGATGTACAACATCGGATACAACAAGTTTGTGGGTTCAGATGCAAATGGGGGTCTCGATTTCATCACTTCCTTGACGAACAGCTCTCGCCTTGCCTTTCTAGCTATTGATGGGAACAGTTTCGAGGGTGTGATTCCAGATTCCATTGGGAATCTCTCCAAGGATCTTTCTAAGCTGTACATGGGAGAGAATCGTCTATATGGGAATATACCCACCACGATTTCTAATCTGCAGGGCTTGTCTCTGCTAAATTTGAGCGACAACTCGTTCTCTGGGGAAATCCCACCCCAAATTGGCAAGTTGGAAAAGCTTCAAATGCTTGGTTTGGCAAGGAATCGATTTTCTGGTCGGATTCCAAGTTCTTTGGGTGATCTTCGAATGTTGAATCAAATCGATTTATCAGGAAATGATTTGGCTGGTAACATACCCTCCTCTTTCGGCAACTTTGTGAATCTGCTCACTTTGGATTTGTCCAAAAATAAGCTCAATGGAAGCATACCAACTGAGACTCTCAAGTTGCCTGCTTTGAGCAAGATTTTAAATCTATCCAATAACCTTTTTAGTGGGTCTCTGCCTAAAGAAATTGGGTCTCTAGAAAATGTTGTCACTATCGATATCTCCAGTAACCATATCTCTGGTAATATTCCTCCTTCTATCAGTGGTTGCAAGAGCTTAGAGGCATTGATAATGGCCAGAAATGAATTCTCGGGTCCAATTCCAGTAACTTTGAAAGATCTTAGAGGTCTCCAACTTCTAGATCTCTCCTCGAACCATCTTTCAGGCCCAATTCCGGACGAGCTTCAGCAATTAAGAGCTCTTCAAACTCTAAACCTCTCTTTTAACGATCTCGAGGGAGCTGTTCCAAAAGGTTTTGAAAATATCACAACCATTTATTTGCAAGGCAACACCAAGCTTTGTGACCAACATTTCTCATGTGTAGCCGGTGGGACAAAAGGGAAGGTGGTCAAAATTGTTGTCATCTCTGTTTTGTCAGCAGCGTTGGTCATATTTCTTATATTTGGCGCTACGGTGTACCTAATGAGAAGAAAATCAAAGGATACGTCAGCATCCAGTGATCTGATCAAGGGGAAGCCAGAAATGGTGTCCTACCGTGAGCTCTGTTTGGCAACTGGGAATTTCAGCCAAGAAAATTTGATTGGAAAAGGAAGCTGTGGGAGTGTATACAGAGGCTATTTGGAACAGGGGATTGCGGTTGCAGTCAAGGTCATCAACACCGAAAGGGCTGGTTCTGTGAGGAGCTTTCTTGCAGAGTGTGAGGCTCTGAGGAACGTGAGACATCGAAATCTTGTTAAACTAATCACATCTTGCTCCAGCATAGACTTCAAAAACAGGGAGTTTTTAGCTTTGGTTTATGAGTTCTTGAGTAATGGAAGCTTGGATGCGTGGATTCACAAGCATAAACTTCACGCAGATGGAAGTGGGCTAAATTTACTTGAGAGATTGAACATTGCCATTGATGTTGCTTCTGTGTTGGATTACCTCCATAACGGGTACGATGTTCCAATTGTTCACTGTGATCTGAAGCCCAGCAACATCGTCTTGTCTGAAGACATGACTGCAAAAGTTGGGGATTTTGGGTTGGCTCGTCTGCTGATGGAAAGTGAAAATAGCCAATCGTATTCCATTACTTCCACTCATGTCCTAAAGGGTTCCATCGGCTACGTTCCTCCAGGTTTGTGAATACAAAACTTTCATTTTTCCATTGGAGAAAACTATTTATCTTTAAAGGGTTTTTGACACTAAGCAAGCTCTCTTTCCATTGCAGAGTATGGACAGGGGAGAAAGCCCACAACAGCTGGAGATGTGTACAGTTTTGGCGTAACATTGCTAGAGATTTTTACAGGGAAGTGTCCAACTCAAGAGCTTTTTGCAGGGGAGCTCAATTTGATCAGATGGGTTCAATTGGCTTATCCAAAGGAATTGAATGAAATAGTAGATGTTGCGCTATTGGAATCACGTTTCAACTTGTACTATGAAGAGCAAGAGATTGGGCCAATTAAGCAGAATGAATGCTTGATTGATGTCATTGGTGTTGCACTCTCATGCACTGCGGATTCGCCCGATAAACGTATTTGCATGAAAGATGTGTTTTTGAAGCTCAAGATGATAAGAGCCACTCTTATCCATAAGGATTGAAATGCAAGAGAATATGGATAGGGAGCAGGGAGATTTTGAGAGTTGGTTTTCTATCATTCTGAGTGTTGTAGCAGCACATCTGTAAGAAGATTTTGAGAGTTGAGAGTGTAGTAGAATGATAGTACTATAGAAATGAAGCACAAAGGAGAAGAGAATAACAACGGAAGAAAAAACTATAATTAAGAAAGCACCAATCTGTACGACTTAATCCTTGCTCATTTAATAATTAGGAAGATATTTGTCAATATTATTTTTTATGTAAGAGAAGCTTAAATTTATATGCAAAGGATCTATAATTATTTGCGACAAACTTCCTATAGACCTTGGATATTAAAAATTTTACCTCGCTTATTTGCTTTTGATTTTGGTTTCTTAGCAATGAAGATACCTCATGTATAAACCTATGATTTTCTTATTTTTTAGCCGATATGTAATTTTATTTACACATTCCTTACCAACCCACATAAATTTCCTCGCTTAGCATGCATGAATGGAGCAAGCATATCGAAGCCTAGCATCAATGGATTAACCCACAGTTCATTAACTTTACATTTTTGCTTCTCTTTTTTACGTACTAAAAAATCACCATTTTTAACTCACTGGTCAAATCACTTTTTCTTTTTTACTCTTAACAACAAAAGTATTGCATTTTAAAACTCAAGGAATTAGTTAAAAAAATAAAATAATCCAAAATTACCAAAGAAAGATTCTTTAGAAATCCCTCCCCCAATCAGTGAAAACTAACCCAAATTTACCACAAAAAATCCCTCCCCCAATCATTGAA